TTTTTTTTTTTTTCCTCTTTTACCTACATGAATCTTTCATGATATTTTAGAATACGGAGGACTTATCAATTACTTGGTAACATCCCATGAAAGAAACAAAGATTTTCTGCTATTAATTTATAATCATAGATGGAAAAAAAAAAGCAAAATAAAAAAATAAAGAAAATAGTATTAAAAAAACCCAAAGAAATAAAGAAAAAAATAATAAGTTAAATATTATGTTATTTAAAAAAAAAAAAACAGATGAATTAAAATAAATTCTTATTTTTTATTGGAGACAGAGTCTCGCTCTGTCGCCCTGGCTAGAGCGCCGCGGCGTCAGCCTTGCTCACAGCAGCCTCCGATTCCTGGCCTCAAGCCATCCTCCTGCCCTGGCCTCCCTCCCGAGTAGCTGGGACTACAGGCATGCGCCACCACGCCCGGCTCGTTTTTTCTATATATTTTCAGTTGTTCAGTTAATTTCTTTCTATTTTGGGTAGAGACGGGGTCTCGCTGTTGCTCAGGCTGCTTTTGAACTTCTGACCTCACATAATCCTCCTGCCTCGGCCTCCCTCCCGAGTAGCTGGGACTACAGGCATGCGCCACCACGTCCGGCTCGTTTTTTCTGTATATTTTTAGCTGTCCTGCTCATTTCTTTCTATTTTATTTTTAGTAGAGACGGGGTCTCGCTCTTGCTCAGGCTGGCCTCGACCTCCCGACCTCGAACCAGCGATCCTCCCGCCCCGGCCTCCCTCCCAGAATGCTAGGGCTACAGGCATGCGCCACCATACCTGGCTAATTTTTTCTATTTTTAGTTTTTTTTCCTGCTAATTTCTTCGTATTTTTAGTAGACACCAAGTCTCGCTCTTGCTCGGGCTGGCCTCGACCTCCCGACCTCCAACGAGCGATCCTCCCGCCCCGGCCTCCCTCCCGAGCAGCTGGGACGACAGGCAACGTGTCGCCAACCTGGTGAGATGACCACGGCGCCCCCCGAGCCGGAAACCCCGGACGCCGCCAGGGCACCCAGGTGGCCGGGCGGGGCCGGGGCAGGGAGGGGACGCACCTGGAAGTAGATGACCACGGCGAACACGAAGATGGTGGCGATGAGGTTCATGAGGTTGGGCAGGTTCTGGCGGTAGAAGGCCTCGCGGAGGGCGCGCACCTTGTCCGTGCGGGTGGCCAGGAGGTGGAAGAGCGCGATGATGGCGCCTTCGAACTCCATCCCTGCGGGCAGAGCGCCGGGCAAAGGGGTGAGGCCGGGAGCAAAGGGGTGAGGCCGGGCAAAGGGGTGAGGCCGGGAGCAAAGAGGTGAGGCCGGGAGCAAAGAGGTGAGGCCGGGAGCAGAGGGGTGAGGCCGGGAGCAGAGGGGTGAGGCCGCGAGCAAGCCTCTCGGATTTGCCTCCCAGCAAGCTAATCAGAGCGGACAAAACGCAAGGCGGGGGGAATCCAACCGGCTGGGAGAGTCACGGGGCTCAGCCTCCGACTCCCGGCCTCCGGCGAGCCTCCCGTCTCGGCCTCCCTCCCGAGGAGCTGGGACGACAGGCGTGAGCCACCACGCCCGGCTCGTTTTTTCTGTATATTTTTAGTTGTCCAGCTCATTTCTTTCTTTTTTTTTTTTTTTTAGTAGAGACGGGGTCTCGCTCTTGCTCAGGCTGGCCTCCAACTCCTGGCCTCGATCAAGCGATCCTCCTGTCTCGGCCTCCCTATCGAGTAGCTGGGACGACAGGCATGCGCCACCACGCCCGGCTCATTTTTCCCACATATATTTTTAGTTGGCCAAATACTTTCTTTCTTATTTTTTTTAGTAAAGATGGGATCTAGCTCTGGCTCAGAGGCCGGCCTCGAACTCTTGACTTCGAGCGATCCTCCCATCTCGGCCTCCCTTCCCGAGTAGCTGGACTACAGGCATGCGCCTCACGCGCCGGCTCATTTTTTCTATATATTTTTGCTTGTCCAGCTCATTTCTTTCTGTTTTCTTTCTTTTTTTTTTTTTGGACAGAGTCTCGCTCTGTCGCCCGGGGCTGGAGTGAGTGCCGTGGCGTGCAGCCTCCGACTCCTGGCCTCAATCAAGCGATCCTCCTGCTCGCCTCCCCCCCCGAGTAGCTGGGACGACAGGCTGCGCCTCCACGCCGGCTCGTTTTTTCTATATATATTTTTAGTTGGCCAGCTCGTTTTTCTTTTTTTTTTTTTTTTCAGTAGAGACGGGGTCTCGCTCTGCTCAGGCTGGCCTCCACCTCCTGACCTGCAGCGATCCTCCCTCCTCGGCCTCCCAGAGAGCTGGGACGACGGGCGTGAGCCTCCGCCGAGCCCGGCCTCCCCACCCCATTCCGGCACCGCTGTCTGCCCGAGTCCTGTCGCCGTCAACGGGGGTGGCCGGGGGGCCCCCCACCTCGGCCGGTGTTGACGGTGGTTGGGCTGAAGGCCTTCCACACGATGGTCTCGCAGATGTTGGTGGCGATGAAGAGGGAGATGCCGGAGCCGAGGCCGTAGCCCTTCTGCAGGAGTTCGTCCAGAAGGAGCACGATCAGGCCCGCGACGAAAAGCTGCACGAGAATTTTAAAAATAAAAACATGTCTTCCAAAACCGGGCTAATTTGAAAAGAAAAAAAAATTTAACAGAATAAAATTTAAAATGTAAATAATTTTATAAGTAAATAAACAAAAAAAAAAAAAAGGAACCAAAATAGACGACTGTGTGACTGGCCCCCACGGCGTGGTCTGTCCTGCTTCAGGGACTGGGTTTTTTTTTTTGAGACAGAGTCTGGCTCTGTCGCCCGGGCTGGAGTGAGCGCCGTGGCGTCAGCCTCGCTCACAGCAGCCTCCGACTGCCTGGCCTCAACGAGCCTCCTGCCTCGCCCTCCCTCCCGAGTAGCTGGGACTCAGCCATGCGCTACCCACGCCCCAATTAATATTTCTTTCTATGTATTTTTATTTGGCAATTAATTTCTTTCTATTTTTTTTCAGTAAGAACGGGGTCTCGCTCTTGCTCGGGCTGGCCTCCAATTCCCTGATTTCCAGCGATCCTCCCGCCTCGCGCTCCCTCCCGATGTGCTGGGCCTACAGGCATGCGCCACACGCCCCGGCTCATTTTTTTCTATATACGTTAGTTGGCCGATTAATTTCTTTCCATTTATAGTAGAGACGGGGTCTCGCTCTTGCTCGGGCTGGCCTCCAACTCCTGATTTCCAGCGATCCTCCCGCCTCGGCCTCCCTCCCGAGTAGCTGGGACTACAGGCGTGCGCCACCACGCCCGGCTCGTTTTTTCTATATATGTTAGTTGGCCAATTAATTTCCTTCCGTTTATAGTAGAGACGGGGTCTCGCTCTTGCTCAGGCTGGATTCGACCTCCTGACCTCGAGCAAGCGATCCTCCTGCCTCGGCCTCCACACGAGTAGCTGGGACTCCGGGCATGCGCCTCCACGCCCGGCTCGTTTTGTTCCTATATATTTTCAGTTGTCCAATTAATCTCTTGCTGTTTTTTTTTTTCAGTAGAGACGGGGTCTCGCTCTTGCTCAGAGGCCGGCCTCCAACTCCCGACCTCGAGCGATCCTCCCACCTCGGCCTCCCGAGTAGCTGGGACTGTATAATTTTTCCGTGTATTTTCAACTGGCCGATTAATTCCTTTCTATTTTTAGTAGAGACGGGGGGGTCTCGCTCTTGCTCGGGCCAGCCTCCACCTCCTGGCCTCCAACGAGCGAGCCTCCCGCCTCGGCCTCCCCCCAGAGCGAGTCCCCGAGCTGCGACCGGCGCCCGGGGGTGGGGGGGACGGGACGGTCCCGGCTTGGGGGACGAACCTGGATTGTGATCAGCAGGCAGATGCCGGCGCCCATCTCCGAGGGGTCCCCGTACATGCCCGTCATGACGTACACGATCGACTGCCCGATGGTGATGATCATGCCGAACACTGCGGCCAAGCAGAGGACAGACGGACGGACG